CGTGAAAAATATGGAAAAAGGAAGAAAACATCAGGCCAGAAACATTACAGTGTGCATTTCTTTCTTTAGTTTTTTCCTTTGAAACATATCGCGTTAACGATATGTAAACAGGAATTCACTAACTGCCGATATTCTCTTTCATACTCTTCTAATTTTGTTTATATCAGATTCTCTATTACGATTAGACCGTGGATGTTTATATAAATTCGTAGCTTTATTTAACACTATTACAGAAATACAATTATGGAAATTGAACTTGAATAAAACTTTCTTTCATTCAATACAATTAAGTATCATAACTCATTTATTACGTTAATCCTTAACAATATAAAGAAAACTTTATTTCCAATATCTTTGCACATTATATTCGATGCAATCTGTGTATTTCTACACTTTTAAATTTACTATAAATGTACAATCTATTTATAACTCATCACAATGGTTTAATTTAAATTACACGTTCGTAGAATACACCTCTTACACTTGTCACCAGAGGGCCATCGATATCAACATAGAGCTAGGCGATATTAATGCTTTCTCACTAGTGGTCACATTGACACTGTTTGTTTCAATAAATATAACTTCCAACACAAGTTTTTCTATCCCAGTGTCTAAGGTAAAGGTCTGCTAGGTAAGCCTTACTGAAGAGTCCGAACTAGCAGATCTCGGACGAAACACTACTTCACTTTTCTCCATTTCCTTTATTTGACCACCCTACTTCATCCATCCCCCCTCTGCTTGAGTCATATGGGTAAGAAGATGGACTAACAAAGAAGAAGGAGGAGGAGCTTCGCGATGGAGGACTACCCATGGGCGGCCTTTGGCGCAAGTGCGTCGAATCAAACAATGAAGCTGATGAAAACCGCTTCCAAAAAACCTTGAAAGGGACAGGCGGTAAACCTTTAGACATAAGGGGGTCCGCTAATACTGAAACTTCACAGAGTTATAGCTGCAAGTAAGATACTAGTAAGGTACTCGCCGTTTCACCGGCTGTGTATGACGACACACTGAGTGTTCGCGAACCTTACTAGCCGATTTAGGTTAAGAGACACGTGTACATCTTTACACGTAAGTCAGTATTAAATATCCCCTCCGGGGATATCCGGAGTGGGAGGCGGCCACACTGGGAAACGTCGCAGGAGAGGGTAGCAGATCCGACTGGCCTTGTATACAGTGTCCCGCCGTTGGCGATGGTGTAGGAGGGAGGAATCCGATTTTCAATGTTCCTGCCATTGTATATATAAACCTTCTTCCCTCCTTCCATTGTGTCTAAGGCATGAGCCTGTTAGGTAAGCCTTACTGATGAGTCCACTAGCAGGCTCTGGACGAAACACACACTTTTTTTTTTCTTTTTTTCTGTCTTCCTTCATATATACATGATAATTGTAGCTGCTGGCTGTAGATGTCGCTTGCCGGGGTGTAGTACTGCTGTATTTTCTTCTTATTTAGATGTCGTGGAAGAAAAATCGGATTTTGGAAAAGTACGAGGCGCCGGGATTTGAACCCGGGATCCGAACGTTTGTACTCTATCCACTGCGCTGCCGTCGTCCGACACTAGTTGGTTTCGAGTGGTGAGATTTGCGCTCTCGTGTGCCGCCACGAGAGGAAATCTCAGTGTGGGTGTGCTTTCTGAACGAAGAACGCGGATTCGTTGTTCACACTTTTCGTTAGGAAAGTGAGGGTGCCCATTGGTTGTAGCCAACGTTAATGAATGAAGATAGGAGGAGGAAGCCTCCTACCAACGTGGCTCGTGGGTGACATTGTTTATTGGAAAAATAACTACCCGCTTTCTCCGTAATTTGTAAGAGTGCGCAATAAACCTAAGCATTGTTCTAAGGACCATCCATAAACCGAAAACACTTACAGGGTTAGAGATTCCTTCAAGCTATTAAGATTACGTCAAAGGATTCAGTTTATAGTATATAGTATGTAGTAGATCAGTATATAGTATAAATTTTCAGACGGCGCACGGACCATCGTACGCGCCGTAACATAGAGAGTTATAAGAATATACATAAGATAAAATTAAACATCGAAAAAGTAACTTAATTAGAAATTACTACAATGTATGATGTATAATATAATGAATTCAAATTGTCTAAAAAATATTACAAATTTATAGAGATTTTACTATAAAATGTTTTTAACAGAAGCTGATACAGTTATATAGCATTTTCAAGCATTTACGAACATTAATGTAATTATTATGTCTTAGTTAAAGTCAAATTAAGCCAAAGACGGAACATAGAAGTATTTAAGCACTGAAGCTTTCGAACTAAATTGAAATTCTGTCTTTTTAATTTTCCCATTAACTTTACACGTTACACGAGACACGCGACAGAAACTGTTGGAATGTTGACTGTAGAGTGCCGCTACAACTATTTCTTTTAAAGGAGAGCTATACTATTACCTCATACCTTTGTTAGACACCTTTGTTATACCTTTCAGCTCTGACTGATATATCTGAGCGAATGTAGAGTGATTCCTTGATATTCATAAACGTCGCCAGACTACATCATTGTGCCATTTGTTCCTTGTTTCTACCAAATGTCTAAATTGGACAAATTGTGAAAGTAAACAACTAAATAAAAAAAAATTGTTTTCCTTGTACATCAGCCATTAGATTAACAGTCTAAACAAATATATAAAATAGTTTTATAAAATCTGTATAAAATATGGTTTATATGCGCAATACTGAAGCGTTTAAGGGGATACAAAGGTAATGTACATATGCATTCTCATGCAACAAAATACAAACAGATTTAATAGTATTAAATTTTTTATTCGTCACAATAGTTTGGGAGTTTATGTCTCGTAAGTATCTGTAATGTGTAAGTATACCTTTGGCTGAATGGAAATTTCTCTTATATCTAGCTAAAAATACAGAAAGAGTGTATTCAATTGGAAAGTGATAAAAACATAAGTAAAGTTTCGGGGATGCACATGATTGCATGAGTGGACTGGAAGTTTTTAACGAATAAAAAATAGTTTTTACACTCTCTGTGTCCGAATTTCCGGAAGCTCTTTATCTTATGCAATGTTTCAGACTATTCGGCAATTTTATATGTACATACAAGAAATATACGTTCTAAGTGAAATATTTAATTATTCCCTTGATACATCAGAAGCAAAATTTATAGGAGCATTCCGAAAGTTGATTTATTATTATCATCAAATAAAGAGAAGCGTGAAAAATTAATATTAAAAGTTACATTTTGCGCATTCTAATACTATAATTCGTGACATAAAAGACAATGTAAATTTGAGCTATCTCTACAGCTATCTCTACAGTAGTATAGTCCAACTTTTTCTTTTTTGTACGCGGAAAATGATATAAACCTTAATAATTGTATTATTTCAATGCTGGGAGAATAAAGGTATCCAGGTAGGCCGTGACCCTAGTGTAAACGCCAGGAAATTTAGGTAAAGCGCACTCATGACCATGCGACACAATACCTATCTGATAGTAGGTGAATTGCCGTGGTATTATCAGTGGTCCGCCGCTGTCACCCTGGAACGATTGTTACATTTTTAATTTTAATGTTTAATGCTTTTAATCAAAGTTGAAATATTTCAATTAAATTATATTGAAATTATACTTATATACAGTAATAATCTATTATTACTTTATGTATTGAAATACTTCAGTTTATGATGTATATGTTATATGTATTTTTAGCAAAACTAAGATTAGAAGGAAATTAGATTAAATACCATAATGATGTGTGAGAAATGGACAAAACTATTAAGTTTTGTATAATTTGTAGTTTAATTTAATTTGTAATTTAATTACCGTACAAGAATCCTTTCCTCCCTTAGGATATCCGGCGCATAATACACTGTCGGTGATCCAAGATGGAGGATAAGCTTTCTTGCATTCGGAGTTCTTAACCACTGGGACTTGTACTTCCATTAATACATCACTTCGTGGTCCTCCTACGAAGAAAATGAGACATTTAAAACTTGAACTGTTTAATTTCATTACAAAATTAATATCGCTTACTATATCTTAATCTTCCCCAACCAGCAACGAAGGGATTATAGCCCTCGAATTTGTTATTTTCAAGGGATGCCTCTATGGGGAGACAAATGGGATGTATGTACTCTGAAAATTAAGGAAATAAATGATAAGAAATGATAAGAAATCAAAAGCAACGATAGTGTAGTAATACTCCATAGCATAAATTTTAGAAACTCAACAATATTTGACGACATACCCGAAAATGGTACATCTCTCTCCAATTTAAGAATAGCGATATCATGGAAGGGTTGCCCGGTAATATAATCAGGATGAATTAGTATAGATTCGAGCCCCATTTCAATAGGATGCGCTCCGTCATCATCTCGTTTTACATTCAAATCCGCCATACGAACCACGTACAAATCTTCATTATCTGCACAATGCCCTGCGGTCAAAACATGTCTAGCCGATATGAGGGAACCTCCGCAATCCCATACTGGCCCCGCATCTGGGTGCGTGTAATTAGGATAACCTAATGCAACCATCCATGGCCAAGCACCTGAAATGCAATAGACATAGTTGTGAACATACATAATTTTTTCTCGCGTGATGAGTTAGAAATTATTGTTATCCATTGGACATTCGACGATGCAGACTCTCAAATAGAAATTTGATTAAGAGAGAAATTGAATTTTGACTTCAGTGGAACAACACTTATTAGTTAATTCTATACAATTTCCATTTGAAATATATTGAACTCTAAAGTTCGAATATGTAATTTCTTCCCGAACACTTTTTCATCGCCATCCGTATCATTATTCGTATGTCGATTTTTAATTTCAAGTAAAAACATACTCTTTCTAACATGAACTAAAAGGAGGAAATAATTCAAGTTAATAAACAAAATTACTACCAATGAAACCGTTGTATTATTATTTAAATTAATTGAAACGTACTTTGATGTACTGTTTAGTGCCTTTAAAGCTCATCCTTCATAGTAAATCGCTTATTATTAATCGGAAAGAAAGACATGAAACGTACCAAGTTTAGCTGGTTTACCACCAACCACCCTGGTATGCGTAACGTTGCTAAAACCACAGTGTGGTGGACGCAAAGGCCCATACGAGGTTGCTATAAAACATTTACAGAGGAAAAAATTATTATACTTAAGGAATAGACAATAGAGTGACGAATTAATTCGCCTTTCCTGGTAAACGAGTTGATTCAAACTTTTCATAATAATGTTTTGTCTTCTTTACGCAATATTAACAATGCAAGTTGAATTTTACCATTAACTTCGTCACCATCTTGAAAATAAAAAATCATAAAAATCGTTTGTATTTTATGTGGTATCGCGTAGCTTCTTTCTTTTCATTGATAATTAACAAACGCGTAAAATTTCGAAATAGCTCGAAGGTTCCGTGATGAGGTCGTACTAGAATCTGAAGTGCATGGGAAAAGACAACTTAAAGTGTAGACCTTTAGCAGACGGCACGTGAATTAATGAATGCAGGAGCACAATTAACGTAAACAGCATCTTGAAACCCGTCATTGTCCTGAAATAAAATAGTGACGAATTGAAAGAAACGCGGAACTGATAGCAATAAAGGAAGCTTAGTTCGCATAATATGTTGAATTTACATCAGAAACGAAGCACGATCGCGCATAGGACGGTTCAGTGATTTATAACAAAATTCTCTATATAAATTCGAATTTTATTATATATGGCTTCCTACTTACCTTTCCATTCTTGAAAAATAAAGATACACTTCTAGCAACTTCCATCTAAGCACCTATTTATACCATCACCTTGTCACTTCACTTACAACCATCACTTACAATTATCAATTATATAGCATATTTTATCGCACATTATCAATAGCTGTGCTACTAAAATTCACAAAATAGAAATAACATGGTAACAGAAATAAAAACTTTTGCACATAACACATCACATAAAAGTTACTTCCACGATAAAAGCTGCTCGTGTGGCACGTGCAACTTCAATTAAAAGTGATTGATTTATTGGCACGGAATTATCAAAAACCAATGAACAACGAGTAGTATATGGTACCATTGTACCCTCTGTATTTTCCCACGAATATTTCGATGGAATTCTCTTCGTTGCCACATTCGCGGAATCGAGCAAATATCTTACGATTCCACTAATCAAAATATTCTAAGTTATGATTTACGATCATCAGATTATTAAAAACGTAAACGAGTGTTTCGTTGCCATCGTAACCCTTATATTCCATATAATCGTAATAAATCTTTAATATATTCTCTGATATATCGTGCATAGTATCCTTTCTGCTTTACTTTCGGTATAGATACGATTAGTGTACGCGTTCGAACACTCACGATTTGTGAGCAGGTTGACGGAGGAAAGACAGTTGATTACCCAGACAGTTAACATAACCATAAACCAGACAGTTGATTACAAAGTGGACTTTGTGGTTTTAATGGATGTGTGACTATTAAAGAACTGTCTCTTTTAGATATAACACAAAATATCGACGTGTCTGGCATTCAGACCACTACCTTTTGTTTTCGTCAGATGGAAGACAATAACTCTGGAGGATTAATTCTTCACATCTGCCTGGCTGTTCATCGTTCAAGATGGGAGTGTAGGATAAAAGTTTGCATCGTTTACCGATTGGTTTAAGATACTGTTGGTCCTGCGAGTATTTTGGGGTTTAGGCTCCTCTTAGTGCCCACTCCATAGTATCATGAATCCTTATCTTTTCAATGATTCCATTTGAACAAAGACCAGAAGAAATCAATGGTCAATGATTGTTCTCATCCATTCAGTGATCTTGAACAAATGTAGAAAGACAATTAATATTGTTTGAATTTTATATTAAGTTTAATGCATATATGCATTATATAGGACGTTTTTAACGAATAAAAAATAGTTTTAGAAGACGCGAGACTTATCTTGTATCTTATGTACTTTCTGTGTCCGAACGTCTAGAAGCTCTCTATCTTATGAAACGTTTCAGAGTAGTCGTCAATTTTATATGTACATATAAGAAATATATGTTCTAAGTGGAATATTTAATTATTCCCTTGATACATCAGAAAATTTGCAAAAATTGATTTCTTATTACCATCAAAAAAGGGGGAGCGGAAAAAACTGTAATTAATGAAATTTAATTAAGAAATTAAAAAATATCATTTTTATACCTCTAAGTCGAGCAGGTGTAGCATGCGTAAAAAATTAGTGACGTTTCAAAGTTATATTTCATGCATTCTAAGACTATAATACGTACAAGTAATAATAATACGTACGTGACGTACAAACCAATATAAATTTGAGCTGCCTCTAATTACTACAATAATAAATTCCAACTTTATCTTTTGTACACGAAAAATGATATTTATGCAAACAGTAATAATTATATTATTTCAACGCTGGCAGAATAAAGCTGTCGAGGTAGGACGTGACCCTAGTGTAAACGCCAGGATATCTAGGTAAAGCGCACTCACGACCATAAGACACAACACCTATTTCATAATAGGTGAAGTTTTGTGGTATCATCAGTGGTCCTCCGCTGTCACCCTGAAACGATTTACATTTTTAATTTTAATGTTTAAAGCTTTCAATCAAAGTTGAAATATTTCAATCGAATTATATTGAAATTATACTTATATACAGCAATAATCCATCATTACTTTGTGAATTGAAATATTTTAGTTTACGATGTACGTATTATATGTATTTTGAGTAAATCTAAGGAAATGAGATTAAATACCGTAATGTTATGTGAGAAATGGGCAAAACTATTAAATTGTGTGTATCTATTATTTTCAATGTTTAAGACGTCGATTTGATGTTGATTCGAATTGACATGTCTTCAAACACCGTATAATTCATATTAAATCTGTAATCTAATTACTTGACAAGAATCCTTTCCACCCTCGGTGTATCCGGCGCATATTACTGTATCAGAGGCGTCGCTATAAGCCTTTTTGCATACGGCGTTGCTAACCACTGGCACTTGTACTTCCATTAATATATCACTTAGTGGCCCTCCTATGAAGAAAATGAGAAAGACATTAAGACTGGGACTGTTTAATTTTATTCTAAAATTAGTATCGCGTACTATATCTTAATCTTCCCCATCCAGCAACGAAGGGGTTATAGCCCATGAAGTTGTTATTTCGAAGGGACTCTTCTAGGGGGAGACAAATGGGACGTATGTACTCTAAAAAATAAGGAAATAAATGATAGCGAAGGAAACGGTTGATGAAAAGTATGAGAAAGAATTTTACATGTTTTATGATAAAAAATATAAAAAAAATTATAATTTAGTAATACTCAATAGCATAAATATTAGAAACTCAGCAATATTTGACGACTTACCCGAAAATGATACATCTCTCTTCAACTTAAGAATAGCTATATCATCATGGTGTTTCGGGTGATTATAATCAGGATGAATTAGTTTAGACTCGAATCCCATTTGAATAGGATGCGCTCCGTCGTCATCTCGTTTTAGATTTAAATCCGCGATACGAACCACGTACAAACTACTGTGTATTGCACAATGTGCTGCTGTCAAAACATGCCTAGCCGATATCAAGGAACCTCCGCAGTTCCATTCCGGATCCTTCCATGGTTGTCTATAATTATGAAAACCTAATGCAACCATCCATGGCCAAGCACCTAAAACGCAATAGTTATAGTTGTGAACATACATACTTTTTCTCGCGTGATGAGCTAGAAACTATTGTTATCCATTGGACATTCGATACATTCGACGATGCAGACTCTCAAATAGAAATTTGATTAAGAGAGAAATTGAATTTTGACTTCAGTGGAACAACACTTATTAGTTAATTCTATACAATTTCCATTTGAAATATACTGAACTCTAAAGTTCGAATATGTAATTTCTTCCCGAACACTTTTTCATCGCCATCCGTATCATTATTCGTATGTCGATTTTTAATTTCGAGTAAAAACATACTTTTTCTAACATGAATTAAAAGGAGGAAGTAATTCAAGTTAATAAACAAAGTTACTACCAATGAAACCGTTGTATTATTATTTAAATTAATTGAAACGTACTTTGATGTGCTGTTTAGTGCCTTTAAAGTTCATCCTTCATAGTAAATCGCTTATTATTAATCGGAAAGAAAGAGATGAAACGTACCAAGTTTAGCTGGTTTACCATCAACCACCCTGGTATGCGTAACGTTGCTAAAACCACAGTGTGGTGGACGCAAGGGCCCATACGAGGTTGCTACAAAACATTTATAGATTAAATTATTATATTTAGGGAATTGACAGCAGAATGACGAATTAATTCATCTTCTCTGGTTAACGAATCGATTAAAACTTTTCATAATAATGTTTTATCTTCTTTATGCAATACTAACCATTACTCCTGATACTTCGTTCACATCGTCTACTGTCCAATTACACGCTTCTCCCATCATTAACAACATACACTGTTACATGTTATAACATAACAAGTTACACTGCACATACTTCATTCATCTTCATAACGTAGATATTTATTCTTATACTAGATCATACAGTTATTAGCACGACGACAATACGAAAATAGAAAATATGAAGTCCGGAAGTATAAAGTATGTGTTTGGAATATTCTTATATTAACTTCATCAGCCATTAAATAAAAAGCTTGGGAGTTTATACAAATGTGAAGTTTTGGTTAATATTCTCTAGTCTCGTTCCTTCTAGATGCACAGTAAATCCTGAGACCTCGAAATAACGTAATCATAAATGTTCTTGCTGCGACCGAACGCCTATGTCACTTTTTATCAAGTAATGTTATTATCGACTGGTTCCTCGGAAAATACAGCAAAGAATACGTATTTGCATGTGGGTAAACTTCGTTGCGCAGTTCCTTTGCGCAAGATACGGGTTATTTTTCTGATTCTTGATCGACTCGAACTTGGCAATTGGTGCGCGGTACCGGGAATAATGAGATAATTGTATGAACGTATTGTTTGCTATACGATGATAATTAGAAATAATAGAAAAATATCATCGTAAAGTCGATATGATTTCATGGGACCATACTGGCATCTGAAGTACATGGAAAAAGACAATTTAAAGTGCAAACCTTCAACAGACGCCTCGTGAACTAATGCATGTAGGAGGACAATTAACGCAAAACATAGATACAGCATCTTGAAGCCCAACATTGTCCTGAAATAAAAAAGTGACGAATTGAAAGGACGCGGAACTGATAACAATAAAGGAAGCTTAGTTCGCATGATATGTTGAATTTACATCAGAAACGAAGCACGATCGCGCATAGGACGGTTCATTGATTTATAACAAAATTCTCTATATAAATTCGAATTTTATTATATATGACTTCCTACTTATCTTTCCATTCTTGAAAAATAAAGATACACTTCTAGCAACTTCCATCTAAGCACCTATTTATACCATCACCTTGTCACTTCACTTACAACCATCACTTACAATTATCAATTATATAGCATATTTTATCGCACATTATCAATAGCTGTGCTACTAAAATTCACAAAATAGAAATAACATGGTAACAGAAATAAAAACTTTTGCACGTAACACATCACATAAAAGTTACTTCTACGATAAAAGCTGCTCGTGTGGCACGTGCAACTTTAATTGATCTTAAAAGTGATTGATTTGTTGGCGCGGAATTATCAAAAACCAATGAACAACGAATAGTACATGGTACCCCTCTGTATTTTCCCATGAATATTTCAATTCCCTTGGTTGCCACGGAATTTTTGTAAAGCTGTCTCGTCGTTGTGTTACAAATTAAAGGAATGGGTACTTATTACTATAATTCTGATGAAAGAAAACAGACGATGATGTTACGATAATATCATTTATTTACAACTGATTTATTTACATACGAATTCTGATATAGGTGATGCACTATTATAATAGGTAAGTTTGATCTGTAAGTTGAATTTTATAAAGTATCCTGCCTATAGAATAAATTATATTAGAATCTAATTTCTAGAATAATACTGAGCATACTGATTATGCTGTTATGATTTGGTTTAAAACAATAAATAATTCACTCATGCATAGTATTCTTCCAGTTTTACATGTAATTTCGATATTGTTATAAGTAGAAAGACAATTAATGTCGTTCGAGACAATTTACGAATTATTCATATTACGTTTAATACGTACAGTTATCATATAAGACATAGTATCGTAAAAATCGGAAGAATAAAAAATTCGTACAGGAAGTACATTTTATGGAACATTTAATAAATCTGTGTGTACACCTAAAATACGTATTAATGGTGACTGATTGTTCATAAGTTTATATACGTTATTTAAAGTCATTCAAAGATATCAATTCTGCTTCCTTTTTTATCACAGGAATAGTTTCTCATTTATATGTGTTCAAAAATACATACAACCGCGCAATAAATGAAGTATATGTCACCTACAATGAAAAAGAGTTTTCCTATACTTAATATTTCCTTTATATGCATATGAAAGTCTATTCTTCGCGTAGCATGAAATTACGAATAAATCTGGAAAATTGTTTAATCTGAAAAGAGAAATAAATTATTAACATGATTTATTAATACGAGATTCAGAATTTTTGTTTTGTCTTGCAGAAAAAGAAAGCAGCCCTCTCTTTTAATGTGAAATAGAAAGCAAAAACTTGAAAACAAATTTTTTGGAAATTTACTTGCAAGTATCATTTTCAATATCGTGATTTTCGTCCCAATGGTACTGTGCTTCCAAATCTTCCAGTATTCTTCTAAAAACAAAAAGTCGAACCTGGTTATTATTGACATTGGCATTACAAGGAAGAGAAGTGTTAGGAAGCAACTCCTTTTTATTATGGATTTCTTTGTAAACATATAAATGAGAAATTTAGCTTTCGTTTTTTACTAAAGAATTTATTCTTATTGTGCTTTGATAGTTATTACATTGCAACTTTTCACGTACTATTCATATTTAATAATTTCCTAATACTAACTAGTTCAAAATTACATATGTCCTTGCACGGATTTAAAAATATGTATGATACAATTAACACTTAGTCAACCACGCGCACCACAGCGAGCTATACGTTTCTTACTGCAATGGATAAACCGCTTATAAACTGTCTACCACGCATTTTTCCAAATATAAAGAACTAATATTCACTACTTAAAAAACAAAGAAATATAAAAATTATTTAAGTGGTCAATTATATTTTGCGGTAATAATTTTGTTTAACGATTTTACATATTGTTTATACAAAACATCAAATTAAAAGTATATATTAAAAGTATTTAAAAATATAGGTAAAATTAAAAGCATTAAAAATGACTAAAGATAAATAAAATGATTTGAACGTGAAATTAAAAATTCATAATACATTTTAATATTTTTTTACAGTGTGATATCGTTCGATTATAACTTTATTTAGTCATAACTGATAGTGTAACTTTCCAATTTAACACCACTAAACTGGTGTATTTTATGATATACTGTACCTTATAAAAGCAGAGAAAGTGGCCCAATTAATTGGGAAGAATTCAAAGTAAGCTATAATTGATAATAACGAAAAAAAAAAAAAAGAAAACGCATTACTGAAGTCAAAAAGGGAGATCTCCCCGTTTGGTCACGCAGCGATGTACTTCACAGAGGGGACAGATCTCCCTATTCGGTTGGCTAAGTGTTAAAATTAATTCTAAAATAATAATTGTTTAAAAAGATTAAAATTCTAATTAAACATTTTGCTATATTTCAAAGTTTGAAACAATACAACTTCATTTATAAAAAATGAAATTATGTTTATGTATTCTTCATCACGATGCTATTTCTTATTACTGTGTCGTCATTTTTTTGAATTCATTTTGTTATCTCTATGCAATATGAAAATTCATATATTGCTTGATATTTTTTATATATTACCCATCCACCGGATAATATCTCCTGAAAAATCAAAATATCAATATTGTATTATTAAAATGCTTCTTAAACTTCAATTTCTGGCAAACCCGAAATCCAATACATTTCTTATAGTTATTATTTATCAAAAAATTCCAAGTTAGTAACTTAACTTTCTCTTCAAATCACGAATAACATATACTTTGACTTACCTGTAACTTTTTGCTCCTAATCGCCGTTTCCTCATATAGAATATTATTATTGCTCCTATAATTACTACCAGTGTCATTGATATTATAGTGGCTACAACTGAATTAATAGAAGATGGTAAATAATTGTACATAATAATGACGCATAACGTTTACTTACATATCAGTCGATACGCGATTACTGTGATATCCTGTTGATGTTTCTTGAGACACTTGGTTAGATGTGATATAGTACCATTCCCTATGGGACATTGTAGATCGAGTATTTTACAAAATAGCGGAAATAAATCCAGATTATTAAAAGGTTCGAGCTTGCACTTGGGCATAAATGCAGGACCATTTGCAAAGAAGAAAGGATGCATTTCTATAGCCTCATTATCGTAGCCATGAAGACCAAATTCTGAATCACTGGTTACTAAACATAAATACCCCATAAAATTTAATATATACCTTTAATTTTTAATACATACTTGAATTAGTAATTCTGTGTTATGAATCATATTCTACCTGTAATATTGAACTTTTTCTTATAATATTCTATATTATCAAGGAGATTTTGAAATGCATATCCAATTTCAGCAATGACAAAGATAGGACCAATACGCGTATTATTTCCATAGTGATATTTCTTAGGAATTTCATCCCTTTTAAAAACTCTAAACGTCTTCGATTTCAACGCTGCTTGCTTCAATGTTTGATAAATTATTTCTTCTTTGCCTAAAAAATTTACTTGTTTATTTTCTTAATCTCTTATTAATAATTTAAACAAACTTAATAGTTCATATGATAAATCAATATACCAGGATTAGGGAAAATGTGCAATCCTGGTGAGGTACCCACAAATTTGTAATCAGAGCTGTTAATATACTTTGTTAGATCTATTATCCTGTCTAACTTAACAGTTGCCATTCCATGATCACTCAAATGAACAACATTAAGATCATGTAAACCATGGTATTCTATCTTATTGTGAAGATACCTAGTTATATTATCTAACTTCCTAAGAATATCATCAAATTGAGGTCCTTTTATTCCAATCACATGACCATGATAATCTGGCTCTTCAATGTATAATATTCCAAAATTTATTGGATGTATAGGATGTACAAACCATGATATTAAGGTATCAATTCTTTCTTCCCAAGGTACAGTCTCATTAAAATTCTGATAGAATTAAAAAGTAATTATTCATATTCTAATAATTATATATTTTCAATAGAGTATAGTCAAAGATATATACCTGAGCAAATGTAGGGGAGATTCCTTGATATTCATAAATGCCACCAGGCCACATCATTGTGCCACTTCTTCTTTGTGCACCAGCCTTTTGGTTAACAGTCTAAACAAACATACAAAGCAGTTCTATAAAATATGTATAAAATACAATAAATATGACTAGTATGATGACCAAAATAATATATGTATTTATGTGTCATACTTTACATACCCAAATAGGAAGAATTCTATTATTATAATGATACAAATTATATGAATATTTTGTTGTATTTCCTGAAGCAGGATCATAAAATTCATTATCCACAACTCCATGTGTTTCTGCATACAATCCTGTGGCCATTGTATGATGATTAGGAAATGTTTTTGTGACAAAAATATTCATCATGTAATCCGCATATGTGCCTTCATGTTTCAGTTTATTCATAAATGGTGTTCTGTCAAAATAGTCATACCTATGAAACAAAAAAATTATTCAACTAAACCAATCGTTTACATACAAGTAAAAATTAAAAAGTAATAACATCTAAAATACCTGAATGCATCATATGATATTACTAACAACTTTGGATGTTGCGATATCAATAATCCATGCTTCACACTAAGTAACATAACAAGTAACGAAGTAAATATGATTACAGAATTCATAGTGAACGTGTATAAATCGTTCTTTAACAGGAAGAATCGTTATCGTGCTTAGCTAGTGGTTATTATTCTATCTCCTTCATGCTTTTAAAAGCATTTCAGTGACGAATCTTCTTCGACCTGGATTGAAAGTTAAAAATATCCAGTTATTGATAACTGCCACAGCAAGTATATATATTTTTTTAATAAAAAAGATCTTATTTCCGAATTAATCTATCCGATCGTATACATAGACATAGTTTCTAAAAAATTCCATCGAACGATACCAATTGAAAATGACCAGATGGTTGTTTCACATGATAAAAAAAAATTAGAAACATTAGTCAATTCCTATTCACGGACACCGTTTGCCAAATACTAAACGCTCCTTCACTTCTCATGAACTATAAAACTATATATAAAGTAATGACACAACCCTTTCTACTCTATACTAATCATACCACTATCTTTTTGCGCTGACGAATTTATTAAACGAACATATACTTTAAACACGAATACTTAATAAAGCGAACTCAACGAAATCTTAAATATTCTTTTACTATCTACACGTAGATAAACGTACAGCGAGTACGTTTTAAAATGATAGCTGATTTTTTGGTTCTTACATAGTTAGGAAATAATTGAGTTAGTTTCTGTACGAGATCCTTTCTCGTTTTTGGAATGTTGGCGAACTTGTTTTTTGGACGCAAGCGTGTTAAATAAAACTCCAGCGGACAAGAGTGCATTTAAGTATGCTATGCGACTGACAGATGCTCGAAGCTACGGTCTGCTACGATGCATTGTATTTGAAGGAGATGAATCGCGTTTGATATTATCCTTATCTTCGTATGAAACATCATTTCTTATTCCCATTATCCTTCACGTATCACGTGAAAATTAAATATCGGTATTTGAACGCCTACATCAGTTAGATGACGGCGATACGCCGTGTGTTAACAGGTCATGGGGGCCTGTTTCGGCCGCTGCATTTCCAAAGTTACAGACTCCTTATCGTACAGGTTAGAAGTGTACCTTTTATCTCAAAATAAAAATGCATCTTTTCAGATATCTTCATCTTTTGTTCATTTCCAGACTATGGATGTTTATTCAACTTCATATATCTATGAATATAGCTAAAGAAATTAAACTTAAATAGAGATTTGTTTTACTTATTAAATAAGCACTTTATTTTGGATATTTAATGTAGTTTTGTATATTATATGCATTCTATATATTTTTGCAACTATCAATTTCTCATAGATATATAAATATCAACAGTCTATTAATTTTGTTAAATATACCTGTTTTCATTATTATATTATGTATATTTCTTTTTTTTTAATGTAGTATATATTTGAATTTAAGGTTTTATCAAAGACACACCAGTATGTCCTACCAAGGAGACGAACAAGTTGAGGTACATATAATTTTGCAGTTGATCGAAGATTTTAATGATCCTGCTAATGATAAAATAATGAAGTCCTTCATTATATTGCCAATATTTAGAATCACTTTGTTGTAGTTTATAGATGACAAAGGAGATGCAGACCAACCTAGAGGATCAAAAACGTAAGAAATTGTATTGAGCTCAGGGCAATGTTTCATTTTTGTTGTATTAATTACATGCTTCATTGTTATGCTTCCTGGATAGCCTGTTATCGTTTCTCTCCTTAAACCGGTTCAAGGTAAATGGATTTGTCTATTAGAATTTTTTTTATATTTTATTGAGCATAGTAAGTCTATTTATTAATATGATTATTGATTCTAATTACACTATTCAATGACTCCATTTAACTATTACTTTCTTATTATCAAGAAAATGTTTCCAATGTTATAATAATATATTTATAGAAAAAACATGGGGTTCCTGTAACATTGGAATTATTGGAAGATGGAGCATGGTCAAAGGGTACTAATAAATATGCCAGATTAAACTCTAGGAATGATGCTTCTACAAGGTACAATGCCTATCTAAATCACTAAAACAGTACACTACAAAACAGAAACTAACTGCAATAAAATATTTTATTAGTTCTGGTCTAGATACTCCACTTCAAATTCTTGATGCAAGAACATTAATGAAACAACAAACATGCGTTTCCTCCACTCCTGGCTCATCATTAGATTTGGAATGGGAACATGAAGGTAAAGGAATGTTTTTAATTATGAACATCTAAAGTTATACACATTATACATTTACAAGATATAGAAGGAAAAAAATTATTGTATGTTTAGGAATGCCTCTGCCAGTTATAGATGATGAAAAAGTTGAGAGTACAGATGGTTCTATAACTCAAACATCAGTAAATAATAGTCAACCCTCTAGTTTGACAGCATCTCCTTGGTCTAGGGTATCGACACCAAATAGTTTAGAATGGGATCCGGTAGAAGCCGATATGGTATGTGTTGATTTAGAGACTGAACAGCTTTTGACTGAAATAGAAAGATTAACAGATAGAGCGTTAAAGGAAACAGGAGAATGGACTAATGCTAGTTGATAAATAATGCATTTACAATTAAACAGGATTGTTTGTATTTTTGTATTACAAAAAAAGAGTACACAATGGAATTAACATATATAAAGTACTTTTAGGAAGCAAAAAAAAAGATTTTATTGTTTCAATATTTGTATTGTTGAAACAATATGAAGATATATTTATATTGTTTCAAGGTATATATACATACATGTATAAGTTAATATAATTCACATAGATTTTAAAGAAAGGTATATTATCTGCTAATACTTTTCAACAGATTATTACTAAAAAAAATTGCCAACTAAAAACGAAAATTTTTTATATTATGCGTATATATATTTTTTACACTCGTAAAAAACTCTTTCATTTGACACCTTGAGTTTAAAAAATAAAGATGAGGATATTATATATTGCATTGAGAATACTTTTATTCTGATTTTGCTCGACTTCCGCGAGACAATAACTTTCTTCTTATTGATAATTTTTGCATCACATCTTTTAAAAGAACCTCGTTTTTTAATATTATTTTAATACTTTAGTTAATACTCATATTACTTATTTATTTCTAAACCAAAGATTTTTTCTTTCATTAGATTAGTTTGCTGTGAACGATATTGATCTCGTTTTTTTCCGTACACATACCGTATTACAGTGTCATATTATACTACTTTAACCTTTTGAAGCATAAAAAAGTAACACGAAAAGAAAAATTGTTTCATTTTTTAATTTTGTATAAAAGATGAATTTTCTATCCAAATACCATAGCAGAAAAGGACCTATATAAATGGCCAATTGTGCTTCAAATGGTTAAACAGTACATATCATAGTAACAATATAAATTTTCTTATGTTTGCAAAGTTTACTATGCATTATTTAACCTAGATAGGAGAAAAAATTTTAAGATGGAAATTAAAAATAAAATATATCAGGTGCTATCAATGGAATATATTTTTTGCGAGTGAAATTATGATCAGTTTTTTCCGGAGGATATTTCTTTTGTAGCTTGTTGTTGGTATAATTAGCCATATTTTATACAAGAAGGGCTATTAAATAGTCTAAATAAGTCTAGTCACAATGAAATTCTGTGAATCTCCTTAAAATCCGAAATGAGGGAAAGGGAGGGCGGGAGAGGATGAGGCGGTACCGATGTAATATTAGTGTTGATACACATATTGGGTGTACAAAAACATGTTTCTACTGAAGTTAAATTATTATAAAATGATTAGGTTACAAGTATAGATAGAGTGTCGATTATTGATGGATAAATGGTTTTCAAACCGAGGTAGGCTGCCTTACAATAAACAGAAAACGTATAAAAATTCGCTAATATGCTCGTAAACTTTGATTGCATCACGTCTATGACTTTGTTGCGTTTACAATTGTGTAATTTGTAAGATCGTAAGTTTGCTGATAATTTGCATCATGAGCGAATCAAAATGTATGCAGCAATCGTATAGATAATAATAATGTTAACAATAATGAAAATGTTAAATGATAAAGATGCAGTATGTTAATGATTCAGTGCCATGGCTGTTTATGCACTCCAGAGGTTTTATCTCTCGTCATAATTTATTTTAAATTCCAAAAATTGAAATTAGGTTTTGGTGATACATATTATATATGTATATATAAATAAAAAGAAGTAAAGTTTGTAAAGGTTTATATTAAATTGCATGATAAACGCACAGAAATATTAGTTGAGCATAATATATGTGGCTTAACATTAATACCTGTGTTAATCTTAAACACAAAATGTGTCCACTATGCTAATATACAAACTGATGCGTAATGATTAGTATGGAGGAAAGTGAAAAGGTGCTTTAAACGATAAAAGAGAAAAATTATAAAATGCTTGCGATCTGTTTCTATATCAATAAAAAAATGATGAATACATTATTTATATAAGAGTTAAGTAAAGTTGATACTTTGATGATTCTAATGTAAAGAATATTGGCAAAGAATATTAAATTCAAACGCAACTTGTTTTCGCAAATTAGTGCTGTACAAAATATGTGTCAAGAAGTTTATTATTTTTTATTATTTGTCAAACGTTTATTTAGCGAATGTGTATACAAAAGTATAATTTCCAACAATTTTAAGTGCTCCGACATAATAGGGACCAAAAATATTTTCAGTATTAAATCTTTTCATGGCTAATACTTTGTAATGAAACGATTATTTTATGTAAGTTATAATTATATAGCGAATTTGACTTCAACCGATCGATTTTTGTATTTAATCCTAGAATTAATTGATATTTTTCGACTCCAAATATTGAATAGCGTTATATATATGTTCCACGTATAGAGGACTAATTTATAATTGTATCAGTTTTGAAGTTGTAAACAAAATTTATCACTGTTGGCTTTAAGAATATATTTATCTGCGCCTAGCATTAGAGATCGAAATAATATTTATATTTCGTGCACAGCCGTTCACATTTCATTGTGGGTTTGCGATATGTAAAAATCAACACTGTACATCGTTTGCTTACGTATTAAATACAATTATTAATATTGATATAATTAAATAAAATATGTAATAAAACCGTTATAAAACACGGTATCTTGTATCAATATCTTTATTTGTTTAAATGGAATTTCGTATAGAATCATAGCATAAAATGCAATAAATTGCATAAATTTTATTTATCATCAATGACGAATCGTTTTTAAATCTAATACTGCATATGACCTGATGAGATACATTTTCATTCGTGTTTCTGTTCGATATACGAATTCTTTTTAAGGGTTATCATATTATGTTTATTCAGCATATAAAAATCGGCCAACGAGTATAAAGTTGAATGTGAACATAAATTAAAAGGAAAACTATTATGTTATGATAAATGAATATGTTTATATGCTTTAGTAAATAATTACTTTATTATATTTTTATGTACATGCAAGAAGAAATGACAAACAAGGTGTACTTTCTACCCG